TTAACAAGCTGGTGAAGCATGACTTCCCCTTGATGAATCCATGCTGACTTCTTGTGATGGACAACCTTTCCTGCTCTTCCTGTGCCTCAAAATGGCTTCCAGAATTGGTAGTTGTTCCATCAGGTTCTCAGGGATGAAGGTGAGGCTAAGTGACAATGTAGTTCTCTCAGTCCTCATTCCTGCCCTTCCTGAAGGTAAGATCTTTCCTCCAGTCATCATGCATCTCTCCCAGACACCATGATCATTCACATATAATTGAATGGCCTCAGTGTGGCATCAGCATGTAGCTCTCAGCATTTATGTGTGCTTTCCACAAGAGCTCAAGGATGCATATATGTCTGGTTTGCTTAAGTTTTATCAACTTGATTCTTTTTCACCAAGAGTAACTACCACACAGTAGACTTCTGTCCTATCTTTGGTACTCTGGATTTTTGAAAGTATTAGTAAAGACTAAGGCAAAGTAGGCATGTGGTCTCTTCCATGCCTGTCCTGTACTACCAGGGTCCTTGCCACAGTCAGCAGCAGACATGTATTTCCCATTTACCTTCTGTCACATAAATTTTAGAAATTTTTCTTGATTCCTTTGACACTTCTCACCATATTCAGTTCTAGGTGGGCTCTGGATTTCTCATTTCCATACTTGAACAGTGTCTGTGTCCCTTATAGCTTATCTGTTCTTGTACCCAACCTTCTATAATGCTTTCAGTTTATGCAGTTTTGAATTTTTCCAGAAGATCCTTGCCCATCCATAAATGTCCTCTTGCATTTCTGCCTGACTTTCTGCTACCTGGCACTTGCCACTCTTGAGCTTGGAGGGGGATGAATATCAGCCACCTTTCTTTGGCTCTTTTCTTCCGGGGTTTTATCCTGTAAGTCTCTTCCTCTTTGAAGAGATTAAGTGTGGCTTCCTGAAAGTCAGGACTGTGGTCCTCCTTTCTGTCTTGCTGTCTCTTAAGAACTCTACCACCTCACTGTTAGTGCAGCCCAAGGATGCCTTAGACTTTCACACTTGTAACAAGCCTTTCCTTTTGAGATTACGTTACCAGAAGGCCACCTTTTCTCACCAGCTGCTCTACCCCTTCAGTCAGGAAGTTGCCATCAATGCTTTCCAAGAACCTCCCTAGATTGCTATACCCTGTCATTCCCCTGTCTGAGATAAAGTTACAACTCACATTCCTTCCCTAACTCATTTCACTGTCAAAACCAAATTCTACAGCTAATGTTAAAGTGCTGCTTTAAAATCCAGTTAGTTCCTCTGTTAAGCATACAAGTGGAAATCAGATGCTAAAGCTAATATTACATTAGAGATGTACCTACAACTCAAATCAACTGTTAACCTGCAAACTCAACTGAATCAATCTCTCTATACTACTAAACAAATGTGTTCCCTACTGCTTAAGTATGGGGGAAGGAAGGCATTATCGCATCTGGAAGAATAAAACTAAGGGAAGGAAAAGGAAAGCAAATTCTGCCTTCAAGACAGCAAGCTGAAACAGTGGTGAGAAAGAAGTAAGCCAAAATTTATGCATGCTTTTTCCACTTCTTCACTTTTCTCTATGAATAGAATTTACTGCATAGCACTTAATCCAGGTATGTTTTATGAGCTGTTGTAAGTCACTTTTCTTGGGAACATCTTTTGAAATTACGGATTTTTTTCTACCTAGCTACTAGATTAGTTCAAACAGGAGTTTCACAGATTTTCTCCTACCTGCTCATGAAAGTATGATTTCAAATAAAAATTTTCTAAAGAAAAGACCCCAAGAAAACAACAAAATAAAGTTTGAGTTCCTACTATCTCACACAAGAAAACAATTAAACTTGTAGCCTCCACAATTACTAGTGTGATTTATTCAACTGGGTGTGGTGTTGAAGTAGGTCTAACTAGTTTCCCAGGATAGAGACTATATAGAAAAAAGTAGATGAATCACACTCTCCAATTTACTCACAGTTATAATTGATAGATGAATTAATACAGCTTTATCAGAAACAAAAGAACTCTTTCCTTCCTCTTCCTGATAGGAACAGCAGGTTTCTGCAACTGTTCTGCAGGCTCAAGTTGGCTTTACATTCAGGCTAACTTACAAGCAAGAGAGATCTATTAAAATAACTTTAAAAAATAATAATAACCACTTCAAAATTAAACTTCCAAAACAGTCGTAACTGGTGTCCATATTCAATTCAAGAATCAATTTAACAAGTGAAGCCAGAAAGACTAGTGCTTTATTGTAGATTTTGTAAGTTCCGTCAGGATTACTAATTTTCACTCAAGTTCAGATGAAGTGATAGCAACAGAGACACAAAATCCTGAACATTTATCCAATTTCCAACAGAAATACTGTTCTTCATAATCTATGTTAGTTCAATTATTTTCTTGAGCCATTCTTATTGTCTTTTTCCTGAAAAACAGTATAATTCGGTATAAAAGCAATTAGAGTGCCTTCAGCACAGAACAGTATTTCAAGCAAACATTCAACTATCTTAAATTTATTTTCTATAAAGCTGTATACAGCATACAAAATATTTATTCTTTCACATTATTTCCTTACAAACAAAGATATAATGTCTGTTCAACACCAACAGACTATTGTAAAAATGTAAATACATTATGAACAAGATAGAATCTAGAAAAATCTATATATCACAAGAGTAAACTCTGAATCATCAACAACAGTTGTCAGATTTCAAAACATGTATTTATAACTGTTCAATTTTTTTCTTTTACATAACACAACTTTTAGCTTTGCCCCTTCTTCCAAATCCTTCAAAATCTTTCATTCCTTAATTTAAGAAAAGTAAACTACAAAATCTATGATCTAAGCAGCTATTAAGATGCTGCATTCCACAAATCTTGTTTCTTAAATTATTTAAATAGCAAAACTCAAAACTTGGTTGAGCTTCAGGCACTGATTTGTCAAAAAAATAATCATCATACAGACAAGAAAATGGAAGTGGCAAACTTTTAAAATAAAGAGCAATTGCTTGCAGTACAAAAATACTTCTCAATAATTTTGACAGCCCAACCACACATCACATTTTCACTAAATTCCTGTTATTTTCTATTAGAAATCCAGCTAGACATGCATCATTCTGTATCAATAACACGCAGTTTAGTATAAAATGCATAATGTAAAAACCAAGCACACGTTTTTGTTTCAGGCTCTTATGCCAAATTAATTCTGCCTTTCTCTTTCTCCTGAATACTGCACCTAACTATATTCACCCTTTTCCCCCAAAAAATGGCAGTAGCAAAACAAACTGAATGAATATGAAAAACAATCTCTAATTTGAAATCAAAGGAAAAAAAATCCCTTCTTAGCACTATCAGTTGTAAGACGTGAAAAATATAAGTTGCCCAAGAACACCATCTAGTGGCTGAAAATTAACTTTGGCAAAAGTATTCTGAGAGGTAAAAATTTTAATCTGGCACCTGCAATTTTCCCATCAACAGTTTTCATACCAGAGATTACTCCCTCTTTTTGTTTACACTTCACTGAATTGTACACTCTGAAGTGGCCGCTGCGTTAATTGTTCAGCCTGTTTACTCCTTCTTCAACAACTTTACCTCTCACTAACATTTCTCTTTATTTTAAAATACTCATTTAATCACAGTCATAAGGTGTATATTTGTAAAACACTGGTATGATGAGAATGAGATGTCATCTGTCAACAATAAAAAAGATATGGGAGAGAAAAGAGGGCAAAAGGAGAGACAAAAGGGGGATCAAAGGGCAGACAAAAGGGGATACAGGGAAGAAAAAGAGAAAAAAATATTAAAGAAGAGCAAGCTTTTATTTACTGGGACACAAAACAGCAAACACTGTTATCCTGTGCCCTATTTTTGTCTATACAAAAATGAAACAATTCAAGACCACCTACTCTTGAAGTGGCTCTTCACTGAAACAGCCCAGATCAGAATCTTAAATTATTTCTTAATCACTTTTTTATGTAACTGTTTGGACATGAAACAGAATTTGGACTTGCTGCTTTTTCTAAACTAAAGACCAGTAGACATTTGCATCTGTCTTTAAAAGATCGTATAAGCTAGTACAAAACTTGAACAGCCTAAAACTATCTTGGCTGACTGTATGTATCTTTAGAGAGTATTCCAGCAATTTGTCTTCTGTGAAGAAATATGAAGTACTAGGAGCATCTTAGACTATGTGCCACAGGGAAATTCTACTTTTTTTTTTTAATGTTTGGAGAACGGAGTTACATAGAACGTGAAATAACTCAGGAGCCTGTAACTGTATATAAGACAGACTCTTTTGGATAAAACTCTGCTTTATGATTTTGTAAATCCTCCTTACTTTTTAATGCTAGCACTTCTTCAATAAATCTCATTCCTTCAATAATTCTATCAAAATCTATATTCAGACTTTTTATTTATATAAAATATATTTATAAATATATTGATTTTTACATAACCAATGTTTATATAACCAATTTGATATACTGTAATTCTACAGAACACAGTATGTGTTTAGTCCTTTTTAATTCATAGACATCTTCATGAGTAATCATTAAAATGCACTTCCTCTTTATTTTAATTCAGAGGCATAGAGCAATCACAAGCATATTTCACAGAAACTGTAGACATTCCCAACATGTATAAAGTAATGCGATCCATTTTCCTCCATGAAGGTGAGAAACAGATGTACTACTTATTTTACTTAAAATATCACTAAATTTCCACATAGGTACACAAATATGATGCATACTGAAATGTTAAGAATTAAACATTACGAGTAAAGCGTTTCAAAGCACTGGAAAGTTCCAGCTGAAGAAAGAAGTCCTATGATAAGAAAAAGTATCAGTATCCTACAGAAATGTTCTTGCTGATGTACAGTTAATTTCAACCTTGCTTAGAGTCTTTTAAGAGAGTAACACAAAGATTTCAGAAAGACAGATTTTTCAGACACTAAACAAGAATGTATGCTCTAAGTATAATACCCTTTCAGAGGAGGCTGGAAGAGATAAACTTCATAAAAAGCTACGCATACTTTATCATAAATGCTCCCATTGATATCTGCTCCATAAATTGGTGCCACAAAAGTCAAGTTCTTCCAATATTTACGCTCCAGATCTTCATAATCTACGTATCTTGGGGTGCAGTATCTGCAGAGGAAGAGGCAAGGTAAATTTCAGCTAGTCTTTCAACAACTACCTTCACAATGGACTATGCTTCTGATCCTGCAAAGAGAATTCTAAAAGATCACTTTATTTCAAATACACTGAAAAGGAAGAATTATTACTTGTCCTGCCTGAATTCCTCATTTCATAGTTCACCACAGAATGTAACCTCATACATGACAGCTAGCGTGGTAGAAGATACACATCCATACATTTTCTTCAATCTTCAGGAGCTAAACAGAACTCCTCCTAACTGCTTTCATACTAATGTCTTTCTTTTTATTTCTGTTCTTTGTAACAAACATACATGGAAGAGCCACTTCTCTGACAACTGACATTTATTATTTCCCTGCCTCAGTACTATCTCTGCAAACACAGAGGCAGGGCCTACACAAGTCTATCTCACAATAATTCAAATGAACTAATTCTGCCAAGCAACTGTACTGCTTGGCAAAAACAGCGCTTTGCTTCCTTGCTCCTCCCTCAGGAAAAGACTTCAAGAGGAGATAGAGCATTTCAAACAGTGATAGCAAAACTTCTCTAAAGCAATGAAAACAAAATACTTAAGAGATCTTTCTTTTTTCCCCTTTAGGGTACCATACCTTTATATATCTAATAAGGTTACTCTTTGAAAATCTTCTGAGAACACAGCATTAGCATACTACCATAAAAAACATTCATTAATAGCCTTTCCCTTGGGATTCTTTTTGTCAGGACTCTGTTCTCCCATGTTTTGGTCTTTAGAAAAGAAAACATGCTCTCCTACTACTGCAGCTCTGAGAAACAGTTTATCATTAGCACTGCCTGTTTACTACAGCTGAACTACTGGAAAGAAACCCTGAATATCTATGAACAAAGTACATCATGTGATAAAACAGAACAAAGAAAAGCAGTTAACAATATACATTCTAAACAATTAATTTTTAGCAAGAGAGTTTTTATTTCCATCATTTTTCAATATATGGCTCCAGAAAACGGCCTGTATTTTTGTTTGACACTGAGTAATAAGGATACATAAATTCAGTTACTATAACAAGTAACTCCACTATGGAATGCAGGTATGTCCATATTTCCCTGTAGACAGGGTGAAGAAGCACGCTGGTTAACTGTTTAAATTGAGAATGCCTAAGCAAATAAAAGATGCAATGCATTAGACAGCATTAAAACAGACCTCTGTTTTAAACGGAGCTATGACTTTCATTCAGAGGTTCATGGTCCTTTCCTCTTTTCCAAAGGAAAGGGTTATCACCACAATATTCAAGGAAAAGGAAGCTTTCTTCATAAAGGAATAGAAGTCTTTTTTTATAAGATGATAAGAGGTCCCAGCTCTAGCTTAAGAAAAATAAGTAATATTAACAGTGTCACAGGAAGTGACATTTTCTCAGGAGCAGTGACAAATACTCAGAGAGAGACTCATACCTAATAATTTATTAAAAATTCTCCCAAATGTTCTTGACTTTAACTATGACGTTGTAAACTGCTTTCCATAAAACGGATATAAAAACTGAAATCAGAAATGCTTCCCAAATACATTCCTTGATAAGGAACAAAATATACATAAGCATTGTGCTACATAATAAACCTTCACAGCTATTCAGCATTCTTGAATCTATTTTAAAAAATTCTCATTCTACATGACTTAATCAAATACACATTTCAATCACACATGAATATATATAATAGGAATTGACATAACTTTCTATTTACTCTCTCCTCTAACAGTTCTGAACAAATAAATTTAAACAGTTAAAAAAACAGACTTCCATTCCTACTTATCGGGAAAAGAAAGTTCTTGTGATAACATTTTTCACAAAAAGTACAAAAATAAATGTACAGATATTTTTAAATTCAAAAAAAGAGATCAGTTTTCCACTTCTACACATGCATAGATACTACAGAACATTTTCTAAGCAGCCCCTTCAAGAGCTCTTAATCTCATTATTTTTGTTGATCTTGGTAACAGCTACTCTCCATACATTTTAGCTTCTTAAATTAGTTAACAAGATAAACTTTCCTTCAAACTAGGCCAGTATTATTTTGCTTTCTCTAACTGATTATTTTCAAATATCTTTTCTCTCAACGATTCTTTATGTCACAATCCGAAAATCATTTTCCACCAGTTTTTGAGAAATACTGAAGTAGAATATATTGTTTTACACTGGCAAAAGGAATAGGGAAGTATTCCTTCTACTACTTCCCTCTTTCCTCACTCACCAAGCTGAAGCTTTTTTAGTATAGCGCCTAGCCCTTTTCAGCACCTCGTTTTCCTTCCTTAATAGCTGTTTTGCCATACCGAGTACATGGAGGGTCTCTAAGCACAACTGTGTTCTAGATCACTTTCTTTATTTCCAACATATGCAACACCCACTTTGAACGACAGAAGAAAGATTCATATTGTGATATGCTTCTACAGCTAAAGAGACAGAAAAACTTCTGTGAGGTACATTAAAAAAATAGTAATAATAATCACCATCATCCTCTCACCACACTTAATAGAAATCAAAATATAGGAACAAATAAACACTAGCCATTTTAAGCAAGGACTATGTATACATACTTGTCACTGTTGGCCAGCTGCTTGAATTCCTTCACCGTCATTGGCTTTTTCTGAATGTTATATTGTGTGAAGAGCCCTGACTGGCCAGTGACCATCTGCTGAATTGGAGCAGGAATCACCAAATCTTCAATATCATCATAATGTTTTCTTGGCTTCCATTCCTTTGGTGGGATAACCTGAAAATTTGGGTGAAAAATACAGAATATCAACAGCTGCCACACCAATTCCAAATACTATGGAAAATCCAAAGAATCAAATATGCCCACATGGTGAACTTAGTGCTTACCAGCTGTTACACTTAACTACATGATCATATAAGTGCTCCTAGACAGTACAGAAACTTTAAATGGCTACAACATCATCCTCCATTGCTCAATTCACAAGTACTAACTCACTAATCCACAGCAACTCAGACCATGCAACTGTGCAAACATACACATGTAACACAAATGGACAGAAATCCTTTACAATCAGAAAACAATACAGTGCACAAGCACTGCTCACTACAATACAGAATTGTTATCCTCAGTACATAAAAAGCAAACTTCCAGCTGCTCAAGGAATTGGGTGATGGGATCTCCTGTGAAACTGTCCTTAAGGGCACGGGTACAGAACAGAGTTGGCAACTCCTTAAGGACACCTTTTTGCAAGTGTAACAGCTCTCCATCCCCCAGCCGAAGAAGTCAAGCAGAGGAGACAGGCAACCACGATGGCTGAGCAAGCACTTGCAGCTTAAACTGAAGGAAAAGAGGGAAATGTACTGGAAGTGGAAGCAGGGTTGTGTAGCCTGGGAGTAATACAGGGCTGTTGTCTGCATGTGTAGAGATAGGATTAAGAAAGCCAAGGCACAGATGGAGCTGAATTTGGCAAGAAATGTGAAAGATAACAAGAAAGGGGTTCTACATGTACATAGGCAGGAGGAGACAGGCCAAGGAGAGCGTTCCCCTTCTGATAAAAAGGAATGGAGAGCTGGCTTCCTCAGACATAGAAAAAGCTGAGGTGCTCAGTAAGTGCTTTGCCTCAGTCTTCACTGGTGGTCAGTCTTCCCGTGTCTGCAAAGACCCTGAACCTATAGGTGAGGGTGTGGGGAGTTGATGCCATCCCACTGTAACAGAGGAACAAGTCCATAGACCTCCTCATGCAATTGAATGTATATAAGTCTATCAGGTCAGATGATAGATCTCTCAGAACCCTGGGGTTCTGAGAGAAATAGCTGATGTGGTTGCCAAGCTACTCTTCATCATATTTGAAAAATCACAGCTGTTTGGTAAAGTCCCAGGTGACTGGAAAAAGGGAAACATTACTCCCATTTTTAAGAAAGGGAGAAAGGAAGATCCAGTGAGCCTCACCTCTGTGCCTGAGAAGATCATGGAGCAGATCCTCCTAGAAGCTTTGTTAAGGCATATATGAGACAAAAAGGTGATCCAAGACAGCCATCATGGCTTCAGCAAGGGTAGATCTTGTCTGAACAGTCTGGTGGCCTTCTATGATGGAGTGACGGCATCAGTGGACCAGAGAAGGGCAAAGGGGGTCATCTACCTGGATTTCTGCAAGGCCTTTGACATGGTCCTCACCACATCCTTTTCTCTAAATTGGAGAGGTGTGGATTTGAAGGATGGACTGGTTCAGTGGATTAAGAATTGGTTGGCTAGTCACAGACCAAGGTTCAGTAGTTCTGTGTCAGGGTGGAGGCCAGTCACAAGCAGCGTCCCTCAGGGGTTGGTACCTCAGGGGTTGGACCAGTGCTCTTCAACATCTTCATCAATGACATAGACAACGGCGTTGAGTGCACTCTCAGCAAGTTTGCAGATGACACCAAACTGAGTGCTGCAGTCAATACACTGGAGGGAAGGGAGGCCATCCAGAGGGAACTGGACAGGCTGGAGAAGTGGGCCAATGAAAACCTACTGAGGTTCAACAAGGCTAAGTACAAGGTGCAGCACTTGGGTAGGGAAAAACTGGTATTTACACAAACTAGGAGAAGAACTCCTTAAGAGCAGCCTTGCAGAGAAGGACTTGGGGATCCTGGTAGATGAGATGTTGGACGTGAGCCAGCAGTGTGCGCCTGCAGCCCAGAAAGCCAATTGTGTTCTGGGCTGCATTAAAAAGGGGTGGCTAGAAGGGAGAAGGAGGTGATTGTCCCCCTCTACTCAACTCTTGTGAGGCCCCATCTGGAGTACTGCATCCAGGCCTGCATCCAGGCCCCAGTACAGGAAGAACGTGAAGCTCCTGGAGTAGGCCCAGAGGAGGGCCACTAAGATAATCGAAGGGCTGGAGCTCTCCTATGAAGAAAGGTTGAGGGAACTGGGCTTGTTTAGTTTGGAGAAGAGAAGGCTCCAGGGAGACCTCACTGTGGCCCTCCAGTACTTGAAGGGAGCTTATAAACAGGAGGAGGAGCAGCTGTTTATGAGGGTGGGCAGTGATAAAACAAGGGGGAATGGTTTTAAACTGAGACAGGAGAGGTTTAGGTTAGATATTAGGAGGAAGTTTTTCACACAGAGGGTGGTGACACACTGGAACAGGTTGCCCAAGGAGGTTGTGGATGTGGCTCTGGGCAGCCTGGTCTGCTGGTTGGTGACTCTGCACACAGCAGGGGGTTGAAACTAGGTGATCACTGTGGTCCTCTTCAACCCAGGCCATTCTGTGGAATGATTCTATCATTCCTACAGTTGACAGTCCTTTTTCCAAATGTTGTTTGCTGAATAGAGTATGAATAATTTTTTTTTTTTTACTGATATATTTACGAAATTACAATTAATTCAGAGAACTGCTGTCTGTTTAACTTACATAAAACTGCACTGTACAGTTCTATTAGAATAGCAGTTTGGATTCATTAAGACATACTGATTTTGTATTAACACAATTTAAAGCTCATAATTAAATATTAAAGCTCTGTGTGGATTAACCAACTGTAAAGCTAATGTTTATTTCAGACATCACCATTGCCCAAAATCTATTCCTAATTAGGTATGAAACTGTTATCACTAAAACCACTTCAAAATTCCAAGAATCTTGTAGTGACAGGAGTGTTCTTTAACAGACTGCGTAATTTTGAACGTTCCTTTTACTATTTATCTGAAAACAGAAAATTCTCTAGATTTGAAATTGCAAATTTTAAAACAAAGTTGGTGACAGTTTTGGGCAGTTTATTTTATCTTACTGCTTTCTTTTTAGCTTCATTTTTTTTTTTTAATTTTATTTGACGAAATATCTGGATGCTGTATTTGTGAATTTGCTCCACTCATCATAACTGACTTCTTTTGCGGATCTCAGATTTTCACAGGCATTGGCTTGCAAATTTTTAAAGCAACACAGAGCAAGCAGGATGGCTTTTGTAAAAGTATCTCTACCATTTCTGAATTACAGAACTTGAATAATTAATTCATATCTTAGAGGTAGCTTTTACTCTACGATAGCTAGTTCATTCCTCTAAACAAGCACTTCAGGATTTCATACAACACTGTCGATTAGAGACTGTTAAAACATCTCTCAGTATAAAGTAAAAAGAGTTTAAAAAAAATAAGAGAAAAACACTACTTATATCGTAAGATCATTTGCTACCTTGCCAAAATAATTGTAAGCATGCAAACTGTAATGCTCAAATACTCAACATCCAACCCCTCTAAGAGATCTGGTCAACATCATTCATGGTAGTAAGTACATACTAGCCTTAAGAAAAAATATCAGATAGTAATATACTTCTATACCTAAAATTTTTACTTCAAACCAACTTTTTCTTTATTCAGTTTTCAAATGGATAGAATCCCCTCTGTTCTTTTTTTCCTCTCAACTACCATGTGATTTAATTTATACAGGGACTCCAGAACTTGTTTCAGTTTTTTTTAGCTTTTAGAGAAAAAATAATTGTATCATCTTGTGATTTCTACACAGTTCTTTCATGCAAATCTTACGTTACGTTCACATTAGCATAATACCAAATGCTGGTTTGGAAGCAGGGAAGTCATGCATTCAGAATATATGCATAAAAATCAAATATGTGCACAGAGATTTCCATTTTCATGATTATTAAGCATGAACTCGTACATTTGGCTCAACCAGATGAATACTGAAAAGCAAAATTTGCATTATCTTCTTTAATTCAAGGTCAGTGTGTTTTAAGTGATTAAAACACTTTTGTGAACATTGGTTCAAAATATCCACTTTCAACTATCTGAAATATGTTTATGATTGTCATTACTCATTAGAAAAGCGAACTGTGTGAGCACTGATATGCTAAGTGTATCATTTAAATGAAAACAAAGTCTCCACTCCAAATAATTTTCTTTTTCTAATAAAGATCAAATCAAGGAATAGAGATATTAAAACTTCATATCTAAAATGACATACAGTCACAGGCCGTATCACAGTTGGGAATAATGACTAGGTCAAGTTTTTTACTACTGACCTGTCCCAGTGAAGCCTCTTCACATTCCCTTTAAAAATGAACAACCTTTTTGAAGTAGGCAAATTATGTTTATGTTATGGAAGCAACTTAGATTAAAATCATCAATCAAGTGTTTGATGTTCAAATACAAAATAGAAAAACTAAGGCAGAGTTTTCTAATTTATCTATATTTACAGCAAATAGCCAAAGTATATTTACATTGACTGATATTACTTAGGGGATATGCATTCGGTTTTAGATAACGAATGTCACAGTTATAAACTACCATTCATTTTCCGCTATGAAGCTGCATATTATACAACTGAGGTTATTTCAGAATGCTATCAAAGCATACAATTTATATTAAATCCTCTTTTGTGTACTGGTAATGTCCTGTTCTACATCTGATTCTGAACAGCACTGGCTACTATTTCTATGTAGCTAGTTTCATTCAAAATCTGAAAAAGTTGTTTTCCTTCTGCTTGTCAATGTATACCTTCAGTGCAGTGTTCCAAAATTTACTTTCCCACTTGTCAATTTGTTTGCAAATTCATTTAAGTGCTTTGCTCCATATAAGTGCAGTTTGAGGGTCCAGAACAATTATTAGTCAAGAAAGAGCAATTAATCTATCCGTGTACTTTATTTTTCACTTATTCTGTGACATTCCTTTTTAAGAAAAGGACTCTCTGTAACAGTAGAACTAAAATGCATTATTCCATGCTTTCAAAAGCCTGATTGAAATTTTTTAGCCAATTTGCTTTAGGGTGTACAGTATATCATCTGTCTAGGAAT